GCTGCCCAGGGAGGCTGGGGAGGCTCCTGCTCTGAGGATCTTCAAAACCCACCTGGATGCCACCCTGTGCCTCGTGCTCTGGGTGTCCCTGCTGGAGYAGGGGGTTGGACTAGATGCTCTCTAGAGGTCCCTTCCAACCTTAATGATTCTGTGATATTGGCATTATTGTAGCTTTTTGTACTAGAGTTAAATTTATTGAAGGTGGGAAGTGAATCTCTCAAACTTACCATGTTACCCAAATCGCTGCATCAGAGGTGGTTGATTCATATGTTTTTTATTATTTAATATTGCACATTTGGATTAGAATTCTTTGCTAGAAAAGCAGCGTAAGCAGTTGTTTTACCTTCTTGATGACCAGTTCTTCCAAATTGGTGGGAGAATCCTTTGGAATGGACCTCTGGACTTGGATATACACGGAGCTTTGGAGCTTTAACTTGGGTGCTTGGAGCTTTAACTTGGGTGCTTGGCTCTCAACTCTGCCCTTGCAATAGCTGTGTATTGTGTCCAGGGAACGTAGCCCTGCTGCAAGGTGCAGTAGGGACTAAGTGTAGCACGTTCATATTTTTAATTATCTTTGTGTTCAGCTATACCTGGAGCTGTTAGTCTTACAGCTGGTTCAGGGCAATAACAGCTAGTCTGGTAACCCGGGCGATTTTGTTTTAGGAATAAAGTTGAAAGGGTTTKATGAGGTGCCTCTTCATGCAAGGTGAAGTTTTGACTTTGTTTCAACCCGTTTTTGATTTGCTTTGRTTTGCTATTTAAATTGATTAACAACCAGAAAAACAATTTCTGGACTTGCTTCTTCAAATATTTTGTACCCTCCTGTGTTCTGGGATGGCTTTTTCTGGTGTGGTAGAAGAGGGATGGAAAATGACCTGACTTTTGCCCATATCCTCCTGCTTCTCTCTCAAGCAACGTGAGTTCTATGCAAGTCGATTATCCGAGTAAATCAACTTTTTGATTATATAAGAATTAGTCACCTCTGCTGTTCTTTTACGAAGCTGTTTTGTTCAGGGTAGCTTTATAAACCCTTTCTCAAGGAACTTGGTCTCTCTGTGTCGCGTTTTAAGCTGTAATACTGTTTTATCTCGGGTAGTCATTACGTTCAAGTTTCATTCTTGACTTTGATAGACACTCCTGCCCTTGCTCTGCGGTAGCTACTAGGCAATAAACAGTTGAGTACAACAGTTAAAAACCTCATTTGAAAACAGTGGCATGAGTTAGGAAGTGGATGTTCCATTGTTCCTTTCCTTGGGAACATACTAATCAAATACAAATTGGCTTGAATTGGGGGTATTAACAACTAGACCGCGACACCTTATCTGCCCRCACCCTTCTATGAAAGATTTGGGGAACTACAGTATATGTTTAACCATTTAATATACCTAGAATATCAGTTAGAAGTACAGTTTTCGTTATGATAAAGCTATTAAATCTTATCTGCGTTATCAGCTTATTTTTTTATGAATGGAACTTCAGCCCCGAGATAAAATGTTTTATTACATGATTTATGAAGGGTTACTAAAATCTGTCACTGTAATACCRTCTACTTAAAACATTGTAAAATAATCCTCTCCTTACTGGCTAATACTCTCATGTAAGTCCCTAAATAGATAAAAATGTAATAATTTGTTTTCTGTTGAATCAGAGTAAAGCAGCAAGCATCAAACCTGTSAAACTCTGTTAAAGCTGTTTGATAKAGTAGTAGTACCAAGAYTGGACAAATGCAATCCAAATTTGCCTTGATAAAATGAAATTCTAATAACTGATGTTTATCCGTGCGTTTRAAGAAAGAGYAATRGCATTTTGGAGCTCAGTGCTTGGCTTTAAAAACTAAACTCGCGTTTTACCATTCTTAGTTCCTTTTCCATTTAGTCCCAAGCTTAATGGAAACTTTGCTTTAGGCTTCTAACCTCTTATATTGAAGAGGTGACACTGCCTTCGTTTCTGGCCTCGTTGACTTTTTGTGGGCTAAACTAATCTGCTGTAGGCWTTGGGGCAATGTGAGCAAAACTTAATGCTCTGGCACAAGGACCCAGTGGATTTTGAGGGCGTAAGCTGGAGAGATCAACAAAGAATGAAATCTAACAACTCTTGATGTTGCTTTAAACAAATCTGCAAAGGAAAAATCTGTGTGATCTGTTGAATTTGGAGCTTTTCATGGCTCAAGTGCCCTACAGTTGCCGGCTACCCCTGTGTTTTGGGTCTCTGGAAGGCATGATGGAGCGTGGATTGGGCAACTCATAGGCAGCCTTGGCAGAAAGGGCAGCGTTTCGCTTTGGTCAGCAGGGAATCTCGCTCCGCGTTCGGTTCCTGGGCCTCGGAGGTGGCCCAAAGCAGCAAACGGGCTGGGACTCCCTTGCTCACCCTGTAGAGCTTCTATTTTTAGTTGTTTATTGAAGCAGCCACTCGAGTTAGCAAAAGGAGTCTCCGGGACCCAGATAAAACCTTGGTTTTGAAGTGAATCACACCAGCTTTAATCTGCTCATTTGTGTATTTCTAGTCCTCTTCTTCCAGAGTCTAATGAGACTCAGAGAAAAGTTCCTTATCTGAACCTTCACTGGAAGGGGATAACCTCGCCTCTCCAAATCAGTGTTTTTCTGCTGCAGGAATAAGTGGTTGTTCAAAATAGACTTTAGTGTAATCARATATGGGCTTTTTAATTAAAAGAAATCATAATAAAGATGCATGTTTCAATGCAAGCTGTTTTCCATTTGCATGATTATATATTGACTGATACCATGTAAAATTAAATTCAGAAAGACATAAATTATCTAGAAGTTACTTTTGACTCTYCTGATGATTGTGGCTCCTAAACGTGTGCAGAAAGCCTAGATTTTCCTGCTCAAAAGCAGTTGAAAGCTCTAAATACAGGACTTCATAAAGCTGTTAATATCTCTTTGATCATCCCCCCAAAATTTCTGCATTGCATCCTTAATCCCACCATTTTCCCTTATTTTTCTTTTGAAATGAATCATAGGGGACTGGACAAGTAACGTTAATTAATACAAGGGAGCAGAAGTAGACAAGAGCCATCTGTTCTAAGCATACTGTGAATTTTGCTTAGAAGTATTACCTGAATTGTGCAGCAGTATAAATATTTGTAATACTTTAATGCATCATCCAATGCAGTTTTTGACAACAAAAATAGGAGTATTTGAGGAAGGAGGAAATAGAAAGCTGGGAGACATAGAAGGCTGCTGGCATTAGAGGTCGCTGTATGCTCAAAAACCCTCCAAATTTGGGACTTGTCCCATTTGGAAGTAAGGGATGAAGAAGAAAGTGATGCAGAATCCTCGAGCTAACAGGGTTGCACCAATGTACAAGGGCATTGGACATGATGTCCAATATTGGTGACATCAACCCCGAYCCATATCATGGCATCACAGAAACCCCTTTCAGCAAAGGGAGGAAAAACTGTTTAGTCCTTGTATAAACTTGGCTTCTCAGGAGTGTTTGCACCCTCACAAGCAGTAGCATTTTTTGCCTGCTCCTCAGATTATAGCAGAAAACATCCACTACCAAGTGAACACTTGGGGGGAAAAAAATATACTCTGGGAATGTCACTGAAGTCTTTGCTGATTTATGTTTTCATTTTCTGTTTATGATTTATGATGATGTTACTGAATGTAAAAGATGCTTTTTAATATTTGCATGTATTATAATGAAGCTCACTGTTCCCTTCTCTTCCTATCTTTCTTTCCCCAGGGCATCTACAAGTATCTTGAGGGGTGTTTTTCGGACTTTAAGCAGAGAGGCTTTGTTGTTGGATATGATACACGAGGTCAGGTGACCAGCAACTGCAGCAGTAAGAAGTATGAGTATTGATTACATTTGCAAGACTAGAAATGAAACTGTGCCTTTGAACCAAAATATGAATTCCATTCTCTGGGAATGCTTTTATGTCATGAACTACACATGCTTTTTCCTCCTCTCTTTAGCCCATTTCAATAATAATGAAGATTTGCACTGGGAATCTCATAATTGGACTGCTGAAAATGTAAACTTACATGATAGGAAACTGGTATTTGCAGGGAGGGGAAAGAGAGGGTTGCTCAACCGAGAGGCATGTCCAGACTTTCAGGTCTGATCTTTATATGCCCATTATCCACCAGCCTTTGGGTAAAGGCTGTAAACATTATATTGGATTTGCACGTACTGTTATCCAGGCTGCTTGGATTATACACAGCTTTGAAAATGTAGGAGTTTAAGGGAAATGCTCCTTTTCAGCCTCACAAAGCTCGGAATTCTCACCTCATAGTGGCACATTCTTACTTTTTCTCACAAAATGCAGCTTAAATTCACTTGAATTTTCTCACATGAGAAGGGCAGCTCTTAACCACAAGCTTTTTTCCATCTCCTTGGCTTGACCCAGAGCTACACAAGTTTTAAAATGGAATTGGGCTGCCACAAACGCGTGTTCAGTTAAATGAGCTTGTGCACCCACGTTTCCCAGTGCACCCACGTTTCCCTGTGCCTGCATGGGCTCTAGTGCCTGGTTCTTGCACCAGTCCCTATGCTGAGCGAGGTGGCAGAGCTCCTGGCAGTCACAGTTGGCATAAGCCACCTGTGAAATACAAGCCATAGTAACTTCAGCAGCTTCAGCTCCCAGCAGAGCTCTGGAAGGCTCTTAAGTGGTTCAGGTTACATTTAATAGGTACTGTAGTGAAATTCTAAGCAACTGAAAGGTAGACTGTTATAGTAAACTCATTCTGTAAAATGAGAAATTAAGTATTAAAGTTTGTCTGTAAAAATAAATGAGCAAAGTAAACTTCAGTGTAACCTCTCATCTGTTTTGCCTCTCTGAGCAAGGCTTTGTTAGCTGCTGAGCTGTGTGTGCCTGACTTGAAAAGATCAAGCTGCTAGGTGAAAGAGAATTAATTTGCCTGCTTCTCAAAAGGAAAAAATTATTTTAACAGGACAATTTAAAAATGCAGGTGCTGTAAGTGTTTCTAAATTGGGTGGTSGTCAAACCGTGCTGGTGCTTTTAACATCACTGGCTAATTTAGAGTGTTGCCTTGGCTCTTCAGGCAAAATGAGAACTCATCTCACACGCTGCAACCTGAAAACTGTATGTATAGACAGTGCACACTGTGGGATGCACAATTTAGTGTAATTAAAAAAAAAAAAACACCGGAGGGAAGGAGGAGATGCATGWAATGAAGGTTACAGAAATGCCACGTGGCTCCTCAATTGTCACAGGGAGTTGGGCTCACCCAGTGCTGCTTTCTTTTCTTGACAGGCTTGCCAAGCTCACTGCAGCAGTGCTGCTGGCTAAAGATGTGCCCGTGTACTTCTTTTCATCGTACGTCCCTACGCCCTTTGTGGTGAGTTGTCAGCACCTCTTTTGTGCTGGTGAACTGCGTAGTTGAGCGAGAACTTGAAGGTTTGTTGAAAATGTGAACTAGGAATTTTCTTCTCAAATTCCCAAATTTAAGCTAGGGGACGTTGGGAGCACTTGGCTCTTCAAGGAGACTATAAAAAGAACGTCACTAAATTCTGGGTGCAGATAGTCAACAGAATCACTTTTCAACTTAAGTGTTGCTGTGTTGGGGTGATATTTGAGCTATATGAATTTTTTTCTTTGCTATATGAGTTGTAGGTGACACCTTTTGCTGTTATTTGATTCTACGCTTACAAGTTTAAGTGTCTTAGGGACTGATAAGAGCCACGCATACAATTTTCAAATGAGCTGGTGATACATTAAGAGCCACATCTCCTCCATCCTWTGAGGAAACTGTCCTAATAACTTAATGATCCTTTTGTCACCTGCCACATCTGTGGTTTAATTGATGTGACTTTTCCCCCCACCAGCCCTACGCTGTTCAGCAGCTCAAAGCTGTTGCTGGAGTGATGATCACAGCATCCCATAACCGGAAGGAGGACAACGGATACAAGGCAAGTCCCAGGCTTGAAGGAACATCCCTTGGGAGACTTTTCAATTATATGTTTATTTTTTCACCTCATACTGGCATGTAAAATGACATTGCTTGGGTGTCTCGGGCCCAAGTCTGTGAGAGTCCATAGAGTCCAGTCAGCAGCTAGAGAAGTGCTCAAACAATCTGTAACATGCTTATTAAATTTAGAAATGAAATCAAAATTGAACAAGAACTTCATAAATTAATTGGTCATCACAGTAGGTAACTGTGCTGAAGGTGGTGACAGTTTAATAGTTGATTGTTAAAACTGTTTAAATCATTATCGTGTTCCCTACAAGATGTTTTCTATAGGCAATGAGGGACACGAAGCTTAGTTTTCATCTTCATCTTTTGAAAACTTGGAGCAGTGTTGTGATCTGTACCAGCAAACATTGATTAGGAAGCATTGTAGCGGGTTGTTCCTCCCTTTTTAAAAAACTTTTGGAGCATCTGAACTGAAACCTAAGCATAAAAGTTAAATGTAGCCTTGAAGAAGCTTGTTTAACAGGCGGTGAGTCCTGGTAGTGATAGGAAATACAAATTGCATCACACTGCCTATGAATAACCCATGGGGAGGTGACTGTGCTGCACTTGTCCTCTGGCATAAGTTGTGAAGAACTTCAGCTCTACAAATGCATGAGAAAATAAAACATCATTTTTTTCAGAGTGCTTCATTTATATTTCTGTCTTTTGATAGAAAAAAACATTTTACTTTTGTCAGGGTATCTTTTATTTCTTTTTCACATACACACAAAAAAGTTTTTATGTTYCACTATTTCCCCTGGCAACTGAACGACCTCTGAAGGTTTGGACAATTTTAACTAAACATGACAAAATCCTCCTTGTAAAGGTACTGTGTGTGCCTGTGGGTTTCATCAAAGGCAGCAGTCAGCAAAAGAGAGATTGTTCTGAGCAGAAAGTCCGCACTGGGAACTTGACTCTGCGATTGGAAGTGAAATTACAGGAAAATAGACATCTTGATAGTTCTTTAACAAAGATGTTTTTTTTGAGGCTTTATAGTGCTTCTAGTTGAAAGATTACAGTTGTTAGGGGAAAAAAAATGTGCTTTGGCCGGCTGCTTATCTGTCTTGCTCTGATTTTGAAAACAAGTTGTCTTTTTTTTTTTTTAAAAGGAATGTGAAATTATGCAGAAAATAACATTTTTCTCCCATTACGCTCTGCACAATGCTTTCARATGCAAGTGCCTAGCACCAGGTTCTCATGTGCTGATGATTTCAGCCATAATAGCTGGAAAAACAACATTTCTGAAAGTAGGTCGTGTTGCTGAATAGCAATCATTACRTAACTGAAATCATAAACCTGTGTGATCCCAAAAGGCTTTTGAGAGCTGAGCCTGTCTGTTAGGGGTCTTTTCTGGGTGATTTTAAGAAGCTAGAAACACWTGAAGTCTCTCTAAAACAATTTGCAAAGTTAATTATCTTTGTAATAAAATTTTACTTTGTTTTCCTTAAATTTCTCCTAGGTTTATTGGGAAAATGGAGCCCAGATCAAATCTCCTCATGATAAGGAAATTATAAAATGTATAGAAGAGTGTGTTGAACCATGGAATGGCTCTTGGAATGAGAATCTGGTYGATACCAGCCCCCTTAGACAAGATCCTCTGAAGAAAATTTGTGACTCCTACATGGAAGATCTGAAGAAGATCTGTTACCATAGGTATTGTATGAAATAAAAATATAATTTCAGTATAGATAAGTGAGCTGTGGGATGCCACCCAGTAAATTGAGTGCTGAGAGATACATATGTAGATTCTAGTACTAAGCTATAAGGTGCCTTCATACACAGACATTTTTGATTTGGGTTTAGGGCTTGAGGTCTCTTCCAGAAGCTTCATGGTTTCTAGCCTACATGTAGGGCCTCATTGGCACAAATCAATGACTTGATTTCTGCCTTTTGGTTCTCAGAAGCTGGGTGCTCCACCCTACCAGGGACATTCGGGCTGTTATTTGGTGCTCTTCATTGGGGGAAGAATTTAGAGTCGTCTTCCTGGTTTTATGCCATAATTTCCATGGTCACTGTCATTAGGACTAGATCATATTTCTGCAATAAGTGGCTAGTTTAAGACACAAACCTTTGGGCAGTCACTGTCTTTGGACACCAAGCTACACTAAAGCACCCAATTATGAGCCCTGATGTGCAAATGAATGTGCTCAGAGTGGGAAAAAGCAAAATAATAAAATACTGAGATTCAAAACAAAGGAGGGAGATCTGCAGRGTGAAATAGCAATGAAATGATTAATGGTTACGTAGGGCTGAAGAAAACAGCAGAATGAGCAATGAAGGTGGAGCAGAGTTGGAGTAAAATCTTCAGGATGGTAGAAGAGCTCAGGTTTGTTATAGAAGTTAATGATTCTGTTTGGGAAGATTTACAACCAGCTCAGTAGAAGGTAAATACTCTRTCTTCTACAGGGAGAAGCTTCAAACCAGCCATTTCTATTGAGTGTCCAAATACACCCATTTCACTTCTTTCTTGGAAATTGCTGCTGAAATCAGCAGAACAGGCCAACATATAATTGTGTCTTCTTTTTAGTTTGCTTTTCCACATGAAGGCAGTGTTGAGAGGCAACTAAAATGTTACTTTCCTTTCTCTTCAGGGAGCTAAACATGCAAACCAGCCTGAAGTTTGTTCATACCTCATTTCACGGAGTTGGACACGACTACGTGAAGTTGGCGTTCGAAGCGTTCGGCTTCCAGCCCCCCATTCCAGTCCCGGAACAAAAAGATCCAGATCCAGACTTCCCTACTGTCAAATGCCCAAATCCTGAAGAAGGGGAATCTGTGCTGGTATTTTTGTTTGTACTTCTGTTTATATATATATATATATAATTTATATATATATATATATATATATATATATATATATATATATATATAAAAAATATATATATATATATATACATATATATATTTTTATATATATATATTTATATTTCTTTGGGCTTTCTGTTCTTTGAGTATGATCTTGTGACAAAAACAAAGGGAGCAACTTGCTTCCAGCTGTGTTAATGCAGTGGGCAATCTGTGTGAGATTTCTTTTACTGTGTAGTGTAAATAAGCACTATGACTATGAGTTTAATCAATTTTGTGTCTTTTTTCCCTCCTCCCACCAGGAGCTGTCCCTGAGGCTTGCAGAGAAGGAAAACGCCAGAGTAGTAGTGGCCACAGATCCAGATGCAGATAGATTAGCAGTGGCAGAGCAGCAGAAGTAAGTAATGAGGCCTTTTATTTTATCTCTTCCTGAAGACAAGGCACTGAAAATCACTAAATGTTCCAACAGGACAGACAGATCTGCACTTCAAAACCACCCTTTATTGTTGCAAATTAGCTATGGGGATATTTTTCTTGCTAGGYTCATCCTTTACTGTAGCTCAAGTTTTTTTTTTTTTTTGAAGCTCAAGCTCAAGTAAAATCAGTTAACCTGGAAAAGATAGGGTGGAATACTTCAAATATTGGGATACTGATACAGTATCCCAGTAAACAACCAGATAAAACTTCACTGAAATGTTGAGTGGTTGTTATAGACAGTGAAGTCTTGTTGTCTCTGTTTACTGACTTCTAATAGACAAGCAAATGCTGCTTTGGGATAGTTAATGATGTGATTTTCTTTTTTTATCCTTCATATTGAATAAAAATTATTTTTCTTTCCTGCTAACAGGCCCAAATTCTGAGCACCGTGTAAGTAACTGTCCGTAATGTGCAGTAGCACAGGTATTGCCTAAAACCAAAACCTTAGGCTGCTCTACCTGTGTCTGATGATTTAAAAAGGCCTAAGCTGTTCCAAAGTTGATAGTAAGGAAACTTACTTGGTGTCTTTGCCTGCCAAGAGCTTGCACTGGGCTTGTTAGTCATCGAGATGTGATAAATGTGGAGTCCTGTTAGTATCATGGCTTCTTTTTTTAGAGTAGCTCGCCAGTAGTCTGCTCAAATTCCTGGTCCAGTGACTGCAGAAAACACCTCTCCCCAAATAGATGCTCCTGGGGGACCTGAAAAAGCTCTGCTCTGTTCTGTCCTGTCTGCAGTGGCTGCTGGAAGGTGTTCACTGGCAACGAGATGGCAGCTCTGTTTGGCTGGTGGATGTTTTCTCGCTGGAAGGAAAACTGCTCCCAAGATGCTGATGTGAAGAATGTTTACATGCTAGCGACCACAGTCTCCTCTAAGATTTTGAGGGCAATTGCACTTAAAGAAGGATTCCACTTTGAAGTAAGTATTTTATTTTTGWTTTGTTGTTTCCTCAGCAGAGCAAATTCTGCCATAATGGGTGACACAAATTAAGAGTTACAGATGTAATGAGATGCGTTTATCTCRGTTATTTCCATAGAGATACATTCTTCTGTGTGAGAGAATGTGRGCTTGTGGAATTGATGTGTTTACTACACAAATGAAAAGCTTTTTAATGGTTTTGTGACAAACATGCACAAATTACAAAATACTCTTTCAGATGCCCAGTTCATTGGTAGGTTTTAACTTTGATTTTACTTGAAAAATCAGAACAGAAGACAGGTGGAAGAGCAGGGCTTACATTTGACCAATCAGACACACTTTCTTGTTTGACTTAAAATTGAATAGAAAAGGTTTATGTAGTGCTGCCTTTTTCTTTTTCAGGAAACACTCCCTGGTTTTAAATGGATTGGAAGTAGAGTAAAAGATCTCTCAGATAATGGGAAAGAAGTYCTCTTTGCCTTTGAAGAGTCTATTGGTGTGTATATTGGCATAACTTCTAAGTGTTGAGAAGCATGTGGGGGAATGGGACTGTAAAGCAGCGGTCATAGTTGCGAAAAGAAACCCCAAAGCACTTGATTTCTGCTGCCGARTATCAGCTTTATTTTGCTGATATTTTGCTGGTAATTTGCTGTTATCACATCAACACATCTCCTGTCATAAAAACATGGTGTATTAACAATTAATGTTTCAATCAAAGCTCATTCTGCTACTGCTTCTGTGCAGTTTCCTGATTTGGGTACAAGTTGATGGTCTTGAGGTGCCAGAGAAAAACTACTTGTGTAGCTTCTTAAGCTTCTAAGTTTCTTCTTAGCCTCTTAACTGAGATCAGCCAAAGATTTGTTCTTAACCAGTTACCACCTTGAGGACTAATTATTAAATGGCCTTATGATTGCCTAGGGCCTTGCAGAAAACAAGTGTGTACTTGAGTTTAGCACTGCCCTGAGAGCTTCCCAGAGACAGCAGATGTTATCTGTCCTGAGCAGATGATAGCAAATATCTTCCCAGCCTCATAATCTCTAAATTAGTTATTTATTTATTTTTTTAAGAAGAGAGAAATTCATATGCAGTAATAAAGGTAACTTAGGTTTATTGGCCAATTAGAGGACTGAACCTTCACTCCAATAAATGCCTGCAGTAGCAGGTCAGCTTAATTTTCCACAACGAGCTCTCTCCTTCCAGGGTTCATGTGTGGAACGTCAGTGTTGGATAAAGATGGTGTAAGTGCTGCTGTGGTCATAGCTGAAATGGCAGCTTACCTGGAAAGCAAGAACCAAACCCTAGAACAGAAACTCATTGAGATATACGAGACGTAAGTTGTATTTTTCATTCCTGCATTCCACTTTACCCTTTTGAGTTGTAAATCATCTAGAAAATATTTTTAGTATGTCCCTTGGCTGTTATCTCAATGAAGGTGCAACCACAAGTTACAGTCTTCAGTACTACAAGTACCACTTAAAGACCATGTATCCCAAAGGAATGAAGAGCCCTTTCTACCTGGTATCCATCAAGAGTTATGTAAGAGTAAGCAAAGAGTAACTTGTTTGCTTTGAGGTTGCCTGAGCCCTTGCACAGGCTGCCCAGGGAGGCTGGGGAGGCTCCTGCTCTGGAGACCTTCCCAACCTTCCTTGGCTGCAAACGGGTGTCCCGTGCTCTGGGTGTCCCTGCTGGAGCAGGGGGGTAGGACTAGATGCTCTCTGGAGGTCCCTGCCAACCTCAACCATGGTGGRATTCTGTAGAAGATACTTCCAGAACTGGTTTGTCATCACTGATCAGGATTAATCCGGAAGGAATGTTGAGGGTTAGGACAGCTTGTGTCCCGTGTTGTTTATTATGGCTCCTTGGACACGCGAGTCTTGGCGCTAACAAGTGTGTGGATGTGAGAGGATCAGAGGGTAAAATCAGTTTGCTGAAGTAGTTTGCAAAATAATACCACTTTTTATGATTTATGCCAAAATAAATGGGATTTCCCTATCCTGCTTGTAGATCCAAGTAACGATCCTGCAGGTTTACATACCTTAGGCTCTGTGGAAATGAAAAAGCCAAGAGCTGCACAGGGATGTAGGACATCTGCAGGCTGCACCGACGGGTCTGCAGAAATCAGAAATCTCCCTGTCATGAGAGCTTGTTTAAAGTTGCTGARGTTAGTTTTAGCTTAGAAAACACCTTTCTCAAAAACTGTTGACATAATTTTTACTGTGGCTGCCGACACAGCTACTGTAGTCATTTTTTGACGATTTTAACTGAAATGCAGTTTCATGATACACTGATGTGGAAGGTGCTGTATTTTAATTTCCTGATGGCTGCCAAGGCTGCATTACTCAAACCAATGGCTTTTATTTCTTTGGAAGCAAAACCTTTGCACTTAAAAGTACCACAAGATATGGGGAGGGATATGACTAGGTCTGCTTCAGAGGCCAAACACTTGCATACAAATCTTCTCACCCTTGTGAGAATTGGTGTTATCTCGTTTTACTGGTCATTTTTTGTTTATTTGTTTGTTTTCTCTCCAAAAGTGGATTTTCCCCTGGGTAACAAGTGCATAGAAAACCTCTGACCCTTGTAACTGTAAAACTCTTCTGCTCGTAGGTACGGATATCATATAGCAAAGACTTCCTATTTCTTGTGCTACGATCCTCCTACTATCAAAAGGCTCTTTGAAAGGCTGCGCAACTTCGAGGGCCCTCAGTCTTACCCCAAGTTTTGTGGCGATTATAACATATTACACGTGCGAGATGTTACCACTGGCTACGATAGCAGCCAACCGAACAAGAAATCGGTGAGTGGGGAAGTGTTTTGGCAGGAGATCTTCACTTTTTGAAGAGATTTGAGGGTTAAATACCCCAAGAACTAACAGAAAGATGCTGTGATGTCCAGCAAATGGGATATCAACTTAGTTTGCTCTGTTACACACGGATTAAGAGTGTTTCCTGGGGGAAAATCTTAAAATTTGACATGGCCTGGCTATCCTGTTGCCTTTTTTGCTATATTGGTAAGTGATCTTTATTAGTCTAAGTGAATTTGATGCTGCTGCAACTCCAAGTTGCAGCATTTGAAGCCAGGTAAGCTTCAAAATGCTGCATCTGCTTTAAGGCACATTAGGCTACATCATCTGCTTTAAGGACTGGTAAGTTGGAGGCTGAACTTCTGGTCTGTTTCCAAGTGTTGGAATCCCTCTGGAAGCAGGAGGCAGTCCCATAGACTGAAGTACTGAGTCTAATAGAGATGATAGGCTTGTCCATTAGACTAAAACGACTTGTTCCAGTTTGTTGACCTGAAAGGTGCATGTAAAACACGTGGGATTTCAGCATGTTTATTTAAATGTGGATATTCTGAGTGTTTTCTTTACAAAGTTGCTCTTGTGTCCCCTGGGGCTTTGCGCAGGTGCTGCCGGTGAGCAAAAGCAGCCAGATGATCACCTTCACCTTCCAGAACGGCTGCGTGGCCACGCTGCGCACGAGCGGCACGGAACCCAAGATCAAGTACTACGCGGAGATGTGCGCGCCGCCCGAGCAGAGGTCMGGAGCCCCCCGCGTGTCCCCCTCACCACCACCCCTCACCTCCCAAAGGACGGGGCCGGGTCGCGGCTTCCCCCCTGAGAAGGTTTCTCTGCTGCCCACTTGGAAACCTTGAGCCTTGGCTGAGTGTTTGTTGCACTGGCCAAGGTGATGTGCCTGCTGATCCCGCTGGAATTGAATCCTGGGCACCTGCTGCTGCAGAGGAGTTGTGTCCTCCCTCCCATTCATTGTTCCCTTGGAATTAAAATGTCAGGAAATTGCCCCGCTGCTGGCAGCAGATCGAATCCCAGTGGATTCCTGTTGCCTTTGGGCATCTGCTGTGTTGCTCTGAGTTAACAGATAATAACTAGAGGTCACTCTCCTTTTGAGAAGCCCCTGGATTCACCAGCTTAAAAAGTGCCCAAACGGGGCTCAATGTGTAACAGSAGTGGAGAAAATATCCAAGAGAAAGCAGCTGAGAGAGACTTTGGGTCACTGCTGCATTTGATCTTCATTCTGGTAACTGGGAAGCGTACAGTGACCTTTAAGTTCAGTAAYAGCTCTGAGTAGTGGCAATTATAATTTGAAATATGAGTCTGAAACATTTCTAAGATTTTGTTGTTCAAGGCATAAAATGCTGCAGCTGCCCCAAAGGCTGAACTCCTCCCTGTAATGGCTTTGCAAATACATCTCCAAGCTGTTCCATTCGGCTTCCTCTTAAAAGCTGAGTGTCAGAAAAGTCAGTTCTGTTCTAGTGGCTTTGGGTGCTTTTTAAAAAGAAATGGTGACCTGGAAGGCACAAATGTGATACCACTTCCCAAGCGAGCAGAGCAAAGATAAATAAAAAATGAATCCTGCCCGTTCTTTAAAACCAGAYCTAGTTCCTCTGGTGAGATGCACAGGGGTGGAACAGGAATGTGTCTCTTTCAGGGGCGCTGCTCCTTGTGCAAATGCAGGTTTTTGCCTTTTTATTCAAAAAAAAAATATCTGGGCACTTGCATTGGGAAGGGATCGCTGTAAAACAGAGTCCACGGGGCATCTGGAGTCTCTTCAGGATGGATGGGGGGATCTAGCACTTCCATTAGTAGCTCGTGCTTATTTCTGCTCAACCTCTAGTCTGTGTGTTAGAGCTTTTTCCTGCATCAATTTTACAGCCACCAGCTCCTCTGTTTGGGTTTCTCTGCTGGAGAGACCTCTACTGTCTGTTATTGTTCATGTCTGCTAAACAGTAGCAAACTGGAGTCTTTCCAATCAACAATAGTATTAAAAGTCATAGAGCTGCTCCATGGCTCCATCTGATCTTGCCTTTCTGGAGTAAGAACTCGGTGTTAATCCAACCTCTGAGCCGCTCCATCCATCTGATCTTGTCCTTCTGGAGTAGGAGCTTGGGTGTTAATCTAACCTCTGTCCTCTGCTTACTCTCTAGTGACAGAACCTTCCTCGAAGAGGAGCTGCGGAAGCTCATTGCAGCCTTGATTGCCAATTTCCTCGAGCCCGACAAGAACRGACTGATCTGGCGCTCTGCTTAGAGCCCCGGCTCGTGGCGGCGGCGCCGCGGCCGCTCGCCGCGTGGAACCCACACCAGGACGCCACGTAGCGCGGGTGCGTGTTCAAACAGCTACGTTTCTGCCTGTAGAGAAGCAGAGTTCTTTTGTCAGCTTTTTCACCAAAATCTGGGCTCACAAACACACAAGAAAGAAGTGAAGGAGGGGAATTTATTAACTAGAATTTTGCCGCCTTTGACCAAAAGACTAATTGAATTACACCAGTGGGAATGAACTCCTGTAGCACCCACCTCATAGGAGCTACTGGGCTTCATCTTAAGCTAACTTCTAGTCCCCAGTACTCTTCTGTGTGTTAAATCTTTAAAATCTGATGCTCCTAGTGTTTGAAGGAAGTGAGCACCCCAAACTGACAAAAAAAGCTTTCTGCTTCTTCGTAGCTGTTGTGCGTGAACGTGGGTGTCATCGTTACAGGTCTTAATTTACAGATACGTGAAACTAGAATTCAGTGCTTAGGGTTTCTTGTTGAGGCATGTTGTTCTGATAGGACCTTTTTTTAGCTGCATAAGTAACTCTCTGTTGTTCAAGGTGCTCTTGGTGCATTGTGGCTTTCCTCTGTGTATCTTGAAATGTTTACTCGACAGCACAACCATAGTGGCGACGCGCGCGGTTCCGCTTGCAGCCTGGTCTTCGAGCTACGGCGGGCCTGCGCGAGGCTTCCAGGCGAGTAGAAACGTGTTCACTTTGTGGCTACACGACCTGTTCTGCCCACTGCAGGCCAGAGAATCGTTCGTGTCCACCTTTTCCCATCCCTGAAGGAACTTGGAACTTTTTTTAATAGAGCTTTTGGGAATTCAGTCACTTGTGAAGATGCCAGTTGATGATTTGTCTTATTTTTCATGACTGGAATTCTGGCTCTTGCAATGAGAAGTGGAGGAGAGCAGAGGTGAGACACTGACCCCCTTGACTTCTTTTTTTTATTGTCTCACCTTGAAAACTAATTTCTGTTAAAAGAGCAGTTTACAAATATTACTGATCTTTACCACTTAGAGCAAATTTTTACTCTTTATCATCTCTTTTCTACCTTTGCTTGAGTAGAAAGTGATGCTACTATTTTTTCATTTTTCAAAAAAACAACTTTTTGGTATAGGGAAGCTGTGAAAGCTCTTTTGCCCAAAACACCCTATTTAGAAAAACTATACTGCTCAACTTTTTAACGTGTGCTACTAAATTCCTAACAGAAGCCTCCAGAACAAGGTGAGTGCTGATCAGGACGTCCATCAGCAGACGCAACTGGACCCTATATTGAAAAATGCACTTATTGAAAAGCATTAATTTGCCACTATGGTTAAATCTCCTCAATTTCTCCTCTGTCTTGTTATACCCTTACAGCTTGGTGCCAGAGGAGTCGGTTTGTATGCCCTGCACCCAGACAGCTTTAAAGAGCACCGAGGTTTCCATGTCCAAGTGGGTCCTGGGTATTTCTTGCTGACAGCAGCTTTGCACTATAACCATGGTCAAGTATTTTGCTATATGTGAATGTACGTGTCTTGCAGAAGGCGTGTTGCACAAATCCTTATTTGTCACCACTATTTATTTTTTTTTTTTTTTATTTTAAGAGAAGATATTTCCACGTGGCTCTGCAATTGAGTGAGATGTATCTAATGCCAAAAAAGACTGTTGTTTTTTCTGTTGTTCCTCGACTGTATATTTGACTCAAGTATTGGGAAGATGAAAGCATTGAAGCTCTGAGTGTGCTTTGATATTACACAGCTTTGGAGAGGTACCCGGGGGTGTGAAGGCCGCTCTCCAAGTGCTGCTTTGCCTTCATTTCCCRCAAAAAAAGTGCGGGTTTGGATCCTGCTCTCGCTCCGCTGGAGGCAAAGGAGGTTTCATGGTTTGTTTCCCTGGCAGGTGCCTCCAGGCCTGGAGTGATTTGGCTTTTCARTAGAGTTCAGAAGAGAACAAGACAGGTTTTGAACAAAGCTAAACCCCGTTAAAAGCTTCATGTGTGTGTGACGAGGCCCCTGTCTGCGCTTACGTTTTGCTCCTACAAAGAGCAGGAAGCTGCTCTTTTCCCCCAGGAAACTGCTCTGTATCCATAGGCCAGGACTGTAAATGTAGCAYAGAGCAAAAAATAGGGTTATATTTTGAAAGGGGCCACTCTTGGTGGCTGAAAATCTTTATTAAAAGCAGACTTGAGCAGCTAAGTACCTGGGGCCGAGGCCCTTGTTATTTGAGCAGTTTGGTAGGGCTGTAGTAGTGCGTTTGGAAGGACAGGAACAGGCACAACATACTGAATGTATTCTAAGGGTATAATAACTATTGCTGTTTTTGAAAACTGCTGCTACCGTTGTTTTCCTATTGTATTTGAACTGTTTGATATATTTATACTGTTCCGTTTGGAGAACCCATTTCCTTTTYGCCCCCTTTCCCTTACCGTGGAGGACTGTATTGCTCTGACTTCATTGCTCCGTGACTTTGGCATATGCAGTGTTCGAGTTTGTGGGACTTTGTTGTGCACAAGCTTCGCTCGGTCGTCCTCGGTTCTTGGCTGCTTTTCCAAGAGGAACAAAAGCTGCGGAGGCCGGAGCAGGAGGCAGGTACCAGATCAACAGGCAGATCAACAGATTCTGGGTGCCGCTGCCGGAGAACACGCACCTTTCCCGAGGCTGCTCTGCACCAAATGAGCAACTTAAGCTGTAACCAGCCCCCCTCTCCTTTAATTTTTAGCATTTGATAAAATCCAGAGTGATTTTGGTCTTTTTCCCTTTTGGATGTGCCGGGCTGGGTCTSTGTCCCTCAGCTATGCGGTGGCTGGCATCCTGCCCGGATGCTTTCCTTAATTCCTTAATTTTGAAGAGCCTTTGGAGCATGCGTGTGCGTGTGTTATTCCCAAGCCTGGTCGCATTGCACTCCATGGGCTTACAGGACGTCTAGGATCCAAAAACCGGGACATGGAAGAACCAGTTCCAGGGCAGAAGGGGCTGAGATGCTCCCACCCAACCCCGGCTGCTGCAGGTTGAGAGCCCTTAGCCCCACCACAGGTTTGGTCGCCCCGTTTCACCAGGCTGAGCCTAATTTTTGTCGTGCATTAAATGCCATTTCTTTAAAACAACAAAAAAAGAACCAAGATGAACAAAATTGCAAATTAATCGGATGATCCCTTTAATTTTAAAGCTACCTTAGCCAACGTTTCTATCTTTTTCCCCCTCTTGCGTTCCCAAAGTACGAGAGGGGAGCTGTTTGGTGATGCCTTGGTGACCATCCTGATCCCAAATTCCCAGGATTTATGTCCTCCTCCTGCTGCGTGTCCCAAAGCAGCTCCGTACCTGGCGACTGAAGCTCAGGAGCGGAAGGTACCGTGTTCTTGCCTAGCACCCATCGAGTCGCRGCTCCTGCTCTCGCTTCTCCAGCGTCTGGTCTCCTGTAAGATTAGGGCATATTAGAAACTTGGAGTGAGAATTTTCCCTTTTCTGAAGTATTTCTGTGTGTTTTGCGCTGTGGATTTAGCCGAATGAAGTGGTGTTAAGTAATAAAACGTTCTCTTCGTAGTAGCAATCGCTCCCGGCTCCTCTGTGGTCTTTAGTCCCGCAGCGGTACCRGCCTGGAAACGGAGCTGTCGGATCAGCTCCGCCTTGGAGAAGGAACCTGCTGCCCCCGCGACACCGTGGGGACAACATGCGGCTCTGGCGTGGAGAAACGGGGACAAACTGGGACAAGGACCTGGCTGCAGGTGCGGGAGGTGACAGCGCATGGGCAGCCCCACAGCACATGGGGGCTTGCAAAGGGAACACAGTGGAGGGGGGACATCCATGGGGTTCCCCAGATCCCTGGGAACACCAGGGTTTTCCAAGGAAGCTGCTCGGAAGCTCAGCCCTCCRAGCTGGCAGCCGAAACATACGTGGATACTTCCCTATTTCCTCTGATCACGTAGGAATTGAAGGAAAAACCCTATCCTGTGTCCCCAGCTCCCTGCCCGGGGCACATTCCCAGCCTCCATGAAGGCTTTTTGGGCCAACGGAGACCGTTGTTGCCTTCCCAGGCATTTTGGGGGCACCAAGAAGGTCCGAGAGCAGGAAGAGAAGAAGGTCCCCGGGCTCCAACCCAAGGTGCGGATTGAGAGCTGGATCGGGGCCCTCGGGACAGCCGGGCAGGAGCCCTCAGGCCGGCACTGGGGACAGGAATGGGTTTCATGGGACCCATCAGCCCTCCAAGGAGCTGGGAGCCCTTTGCAGGGACCAGGCTGCACCCAGCAACCGCTGGAGAAGAGCTGCCCTGGGAAACGTGTGGGAAAGGCCCTGGAGAGGGACCTGTGCCCGGCATTTCTCCTCCTCCTCCTCCTCCTCCTCTCCTATCTCCATCAAATCCCACCCCAGGAACAGGCTCCTGCTCCCCCTCTTAAAATCCTCCACAAAAGAGCTGATTTTAGGGTCCCCACAAGCTGTGGCAGCCTCCTCCTCCTCCTCCTCTCCTATCTCCATCAAATCCCACCCCAGGAACAGGCTCCTGCTCCCCCTCTTAAAATCCTCCACAAAAGAGCTGATTTTAGGGTCCCCACAAGCTGTGGCAGGGCCAAGAGGTCCCCCTGAGCACCGTGGGGACACGGAGCCCTGGGGACAAGGGGCGAATGAGACGCGCGCCGGTGGCAGGAGCCTCCGGTGCCCGCGGAGAGCCCGGCCTGCCTCCGTCTGTAATTGCAGCAGCCGGCGCTGGATGTCACCACGAGCCCGAGCGCAGCGGGGACGGGGTCCCCGGCTGCCGAAGGTGGCTCCTGATGTGTCACAGTGACCATCCTGCACCCACCGTGACAGTCCTGCACCCACRGTGACGATCCTGCACCCTTGGCACGTGTCCTGCACCCGCGCTGCATCCCCCAGGATTCTACCTTCCACCTTTCTCCTTGCACCCGTTCATTTAATAACYCCATTAATTAGCAAGGTGCCACCCGCTGCCGGTGCCACCGTCCCCCTGGAGCTGCCCAGGTGCCCTGGAAGCCGGGAGGCTCCTGGTTTTCTCCTGGATTTAATGAAATTCCCCTGGGCAGGCAGGGAAGGGACCACGCGCGYGGCCGCAGCCCCCCTGCTCCCCTCCAACCCCTGACGATCGCGAGGGACCCTACGGCACAGAGAAAAAAACCCGAAACCGGGTAAAAACCAAACAGCCTGGCCGGGAGCATCAACYCCTAATGGCAAATACAAGTGTCATGAGTTGCACGGTCTCAGCTCCAGCCTCTCCCACTGAAGGTCGCTACGCGACCCATGCCTGGATGTTCTGCAAGTGCAAATGCCCAAGCTGTCATAGAATAAAAAGAGGAAATATTTTCTCTGCTCGGCACCAGGGGAGGGAGCTGGGGCCTTTTTGCCACTATTTTTTATTTGCCCATTTCCTGGAAGCACTGGGGGCAAAGTGCCAGCTCCTGCCTTGCTGTCCCCCGAGTCCCCCTACCCTGGAGCTGAGGCTGCAGGGGAGAAGGGGGGAAGGGGGAGACTGGATGGGGAGAAGGGGGAAAAACTCCAGCAGATGGAGCAGCCAGCCTGGGAGCACAACCCTATAATAGACACCTGAGAATCCACCAGGCTTTAGCTGCACTGTGCGGTCCCAGTGGCTGCCAGCAGCAGCCGGGCTGCGGCAGGACCTTGTGGGCTCCCATGGGACCCCCACGTCCCGGGTGCTGCTCCTACCATTCYGCAACGGAGCTGCCGGGATAACCTTCCCTGCCACAGACGGCACCGGGAGCTGCTCTGAGGGAATTTTCCATCTCCTCTGTTCCCTGACCTGGATGAGCCCGCATGGAAACTGCTCCAACTTSCTAGCAACCGGGAGCCTGCGGGCCCCCCTGCCCACCCCGAGCACCCCAAAGCCCCCGCGTGATCCGCTCCCTGCCGCAAAAGCCACAAGCTTCCCGTGTGGCACCCGAGTGCCGTGGGTTTTAAAGCACCGTCCTGCAGCARGTGCCGCTCCTCAGCCCCGCGCTGGCTCTCCAGGGGCCCATCCACCCCCGAAACGCTCGGGAATCACGTTGGAACCCGCTCCATCTCGACGCTTCATCCCATCTCGTTTCCCCCCGATCCTGCTCTAGCAGCAGGATTTGCAAAGCCGGAGCCCTCTACTTAAACCACAAAGAGGTTTCGCATCCCGGCGCTGCCTGCATCCCTCCGCCGCCCCACATCCTGGTGGGAATTATTGCAAGGAGCCCTATAGAAAATAGCCAGACCAGCGGGTGCAGCCGTCGCTATATTTGCTGTAGGCGGTGGCGAGCGGATGGGCTCGGGGGACCCTGGTCCCGGGCGGGTCTCATGCATGGGGCCGGCCTGGGGCTGCATCGCTCTGCACCGGGGGAGACAGCCAAGAAAAAAACGGGCGGAAAAAAACATGGAGCAAGTTTGGGACTCGCAGGGTTTCTCTGGTGATCGTTGGCGTTCAGGTCTTGGCATCCGGAGAGGGGTAGGGAGATGGATGGGGTCGATGCTGGCGCTCGTTGAATAGAAATCTAATAGGAAACATGGTCAAAGTCACGGTCAAAGTCACATCCAGGCTCCAGTGCATCCAAAGGGAGATTCCCAGGGCTCTGCTGAGCAGCGACGAGAGGGTCCGCGCCGAGTCCCCCCATGCGCCCTTGGTGCCGGATGCATCGAGCTGCTCCGTCTCGGGAAGGCTCCATCCCGCCGGGAAGAGGGAGCGGAGGCTTCCCGGCCGCGCGGTGCCGCCGTCGCAGCCCGGGGGGCTCAGGGCCCGTCGGCGGCGGCGCGGCGCGGGTCGGCGTCCTGCTCGTAGCGGTAGTGGTAGCCCTCCATCTGGTCGCGGCACGCCTCGCGCAGGTTGTGCAGCCAGCGCTTGATGCCGCGGCGGTTCAGGTAGAGCACCATGAGGAAGACGACGCCGATGAGGGCGAGCACCACGCCGAAGAAGACGTAGGAGGCCGTCTCCAGCTCGCCGCCCTCCTCGCCATCGCCGCGCGCGCAGCCCAGCCCGTCGGGCCGCAGGCGCAGCAAGGCAGCCCCGCGCAGTGCCGGCGGCGCCGCACAGCGCAGGCTGCGCCCGTCGGCCACGCGCC